GCCAGCTGTTCAGGGAGATGGATGCGTCATCTTGGTCGTCATCCTGACACGAGCTCAGGTTGGCTCGCCTGGCCCCGCAGGTGAACTGCCAGGCCATCATTTGCCTGCGCAGGTGGTTCACGGGGCGCATGACTCCGCCCGCCAACCTACCGCGCCAGTGCCCTTACGAGATTTGAATCTCCACCTCCATTGGCATCTCTGCCAGTCTGGGCGTCTTGGACCTTTGGCACTCGGAGCGCCAGCTCGCCGCCCATAGTGCTAAGTCGCTCTCCAAGCTTGCGCCCAGGACGTGCTCACTCGCTATCCACCGAGCGCGCCGCCACGGTCGCTGTCGTCAAGATCCTTAACAAACGCATCCATGACATTGACAATGGCCAGGAGACACCATCAGGGCCGCCCGTCGATGGGGCGACTCTCTGGGCCCGCATTGACGAGACCAAGCGCTTGGTCATCGAGATCGAAGATTAGAGCGCGTCGGGCAACCCGAGGGGCGCGCCGTTGCGCCCCGCGGCGGGCGCAGCGGTTCCAGACCGGGAGGGCTGAGCAACGGCCAGGATCTCAGCTCCCCGCCTCTCTGGAGTCTCGGTCTCCTTTGAGAGACTGCGCGATCGCGGCTGCCGCCGTCGCTCGCCGAGAAGTTCTGCTCCGGCCAACGGGCTTCGGGGACGGTCCAAACGCGGGGGCCAGATGCTTCGCTCCTCGCTCGATTGCTCGCGCGGCCTGGCGACGGGATGCGCGCGCTGCCCCTGGGGTCCAATAAGATCCACTATATTCGGGCCCTGATGTCACGGCGCCAATTCTGATTTCAATGCCCCTCCAGCCCCCCATTGGGCCGCGCACGCGCCGCTGGACATGATTTGCGCCCGGCGCCCCCTCCCGGGCGCCCACCTCTTGGCCGCCCCCGACAACGCGTGGTCAGCAATGCGCGCTCGTTGGCAGAGCGCGCGGGATCTTCGAAGAAGCCCGTCTTTTTCGGGCGGGGGCGGGCGTCTTCAACGCCTGGCGGCGCGAGGAGATCCAGACCGGAGCAGCTAATCGCTCACGGTTGAACCCCGAGGGGGTTCAGCGCTGCGGCGAAAAGTTCCAGGCTGCGTCTGCTCGCGGGGCTTGCCTGCAACGCCCCTCGCAGCGCCGCCTCGCGCTGAAGAAAGGGGCCGGGGTCTGTCGGGCAGGACGCAGCAGCTGCGACCCGCGCTCCGACGCCCAATCGGCGCGCGGCCCAGCGCCCATTGCCGAGGGCCGAGGCCTTCCAGGCGCGCCGGCAGCAAGCTTCCGCGAAGAAGCCCAAGCCAGAATATGAGATTTCAGCGCACTTTGATCGTCATCTCGCTGTCTTCCCCATTCTAGATGACTTGCGCGCGTGTTCGCGGCGAGCCCGAGAGTCCGCCCCAAGCCCAGATAGGTTTGCACTTGCTGCGTGCATGGGTCGCCCCGCCTGCCCAGTCGCCCCCCGTCGCCGCCTCCCCCCCTCGCGGGAAGAGGCCCATTTATTTTGAAAGGCGAAGACCCAAGGTGCCCCGTTGATTGCGCCCGTAGGCATCGGGGCCCACGCCCCCCCCCCCCCCCCTCGTTGAAACATTCGGATTGCAAAGTGTTGGCGTCAGCGCTCAACTGGCGGACGCAGCGCCGCGTGGCGCAGCGGCCCCGTGAGTCCGAGCAGCGGCGCGTAAAACCGACACAATTCGGACGCAACATTCTGAGGATTGACGCTGCGGCCCGCCGTGCTTGGCCAGCGCATGAGGAACCTACTCCAGTCATCCTGGGTCTCGACAAAGCGACCTTCCCCAGCGAAGTGAGGGCGTTGGTTTAAAGAGTGTGCCCAGGAGGATTCAGACTCAGGAGGGTTGTTTATCTGATGAGGACGGCAATGATACTCACGGCCGATCCACGATTTGGGTTCCACCAATTTCCAGACCCTGGATTTCAAGTCTAGGGTTGCTTGATCCAAAGCCCCCATCGGGTCAGACGTGGCCTGGGCCCGCGTGCTGGAGCGGAGCAGCCGTCCGCTTGCGGTGGGGGGCATTCGTTGAGGAAGGTGCCTGGGCGGCTTCGCAGCCTGGAGGGATCCTTATCTGATGAGAGCGGCGGTGATATCCGTGGCCGATCAACGATTCGGTTTCTGTCAGCTTCCAGCCCCTGCTGAATTCCTGGTCTAGGGGTTCCTTGTCCAAAATCCCCACCGTAGGAGTCAGACGCGGCCTGGGCTCGCGTGCTGGAGCGGAGCTGCCCCCCGCTCAGCGCGTGCGTGCGTGCGTGCGTGCGTGTGTGTGTGTGTGTGTGTGTGTGTGTGTGTGTGTGTGTGTGTGTGTGTGTGTGTGTTCTAAGGCAACCCAAGATCTCTCTCAGAGGGCGACCGCGCCCCCCCTGCTGCTGGTCCGCAAATGCCACCGAGGTTTCAAATATCGCAGCGGGCGCGCCCCACGGTGGCCCCTTTTATTGGGAGCTCTCTGGGCCACGGGCAGCGGCCCCCTCCAGGGCTTCTTTCCGATTCCCCCGACCCGATTCGATTCGATCTCGATGGCTTCCGATCCGATTCGGCTTCGGATTCCGACTTGGGTTCCGATGTCTTAGTGAAGGTTTGCTAGCCCGCTGGTTCTTGCCGATTCGGTTTCGCCCGACTCGGCTGCCGATTTCCGCCGATCCGATTCACTTCGATCGCCAGTCCGACTTTCCGATTCGATTATGAGCTGGCCCTGGTTTGGCACGGTGGCGGCGTATATCTTATTGCTGCGCGTGTTCGATCATCCGTGACCCTCGCACCCAGTTGATTGAGGGCCCTCGTCGCTGCGGCAAGTACAACTGCCAAGTGACAATCCGCCGCGCGGCACTCGCTAGGCACCATCCCGTGGCCCGCCGTGGGACGCGCGCTCCTATTCTCTCCCCCTTCCCCCTCCCCCCCCGCCCTCCTCCGCATCCTCCTGCCCCTCTCCTCCTCGTCCTACACCCCTTCCTCCTTGTCCGCCTCACCCTCCTACTCCCTGCTCGTCCTCCTCGTCGTCCTCCTCCTCCTCCTTTTCCTCCCCTCCTCCTTCCAGTCGTTCTGGCTCAGGCGCGTGCCCCGGGCTTGCGGCAGTCGTCTTCAAACGGCAACCGCTGTCGCGGGTCGATTTGCTTTTCTCTTCAGGTCGCGGGGCCTCATCCCTCAAGTCCTTCTGGCCAAACTGGGGCCTGGCCAACCGCATGTCCCGCAGCGATGGCGCTGTCCTTGCGGGGCCGAGGCAGCCCGCCTGGGGCCGCCCAGCCTGCGGGCGCAACCAGAACTGGGCGAGCCGCATCCGCCGCGCGCGCGCGGAAAGGCGGCGCCCCAGAACGTCGCGCCCTGCGCCCAGGGGGCAGCGGCGGCGCAAGCAGCTAAGCGCGGCGGCGAAGGGCCTCCGCGCGGCCCTGCTCGCGGCCGTCGCGGAGGTGGCACGCGGGCGCGCGGGCCCCCCGCTGCCATCGCACCCGCACCTTCGCCCGAGCGACTCGAGGAGCAGGTCGCCCACGAAAGTGGCAACGGCGGGGAGCGCGGAGCTGCCACTCGACGGCCACAGACCGCGCCCGCTGGCGACGCTGGCGATGTCGCATGGGATGATGGCGCCAAACTTCGCGCGCGGGCTCAGGCGCTCGAGGGCGCAGCGGCGGCCGACGAGAAGGCGCCATGATCATCGCTGCAGGCCGCCTTCGAATCGGAGCCCGCGCCGGTGCGCAATGTCATCGACGAGCGCGAGCCGGTGCTCGCACGCCGCGCCGCGCTGGGCCACGAGGTCACGAGAGCCCAGCAGAAGTTGGCGAAGTTGGAAGGTGAAATTGTCGAGCAGCAGCGCGCAGCGGCGGTGGCTCAATAAACGCCGTCAGTCACGCGTGAGAAGATCGCCGCTGGCAAAGTCAATATTGATGTCTGCAAGCTCGAGTCCCAGAGCACGATGCAGCAGGTTGCTCCTCGGGACCCTCGGCTCGTTCTACCTTAACTCAGCCCTGAGGCCCTGGCGCAGGCGCCCGTTGAACTTCAGCATCTGGCGAAGTCCGAGGCCTTCTGAAAGTGCGCGGAGGTGCTGGCGCAGCGGGCCTGGTGCGTGCGCCATCCCAGGACCCAGAACGAAAAAAACGATCGCGCTGCTCGGCGCGGGCGAACGGCGCGTGGGAACCAACGGAGATATGATAAGCATGCCCAGCAGGAGTTTGGGGCTAAATTTCCAATCGCCCATGATACTGGCGTGGACAAGGTCCGCTATGGACCTGCCCAAAGCTTTCGCGATGTTCCGGCTGGCCTCGCCGAGGACCTTCGCGGACTTCAAGTGCAGCGAATGCAGCGAGACCGTGGGCCATCAAGGAACATCAATCAATATTTTGACAGCTCGATTCCTCATTGTCACCAGGCCATCGGAGTCCAGCAGACAATCTAGCACATGTTGCAACCCCACTCGATAGCTTCCCAGTGTCAGGACTAAGACGCGTACGGAATTCGTGCCAGGGTCCTCGGGACGGTTTGGCCTGGCTTGCCCCAGACGGCCTTGTCGGGCGAACGCCTTGGGATCGCCACTCTTAGTTGTTTAGTGACGGGCTGCAGCGAGGTGCGCAGCGACTGTTTGGGAGCGGTTCGCCTGGCCATTTCTCGGGCCTTCTCGCAAGTGGACCTCCATCAAGTGTTTGCTGGCCTCCGTAGGCGTGCCCTTGCCAAGTTTTCCGGTGCAGCTTGTGTTTCACTGTGTTACGATGCGTATCGGCCGATGGACGGGTGCAAGGGTCCCCCGACGGCCATATGCCGTGTTCGTGAAGAAGGGTGCTCCCATGGCCACCTCTTGTGCACCACATTCCGTCAGACGGCTCAGTGTGAGCTATTTGTGTTCTGTTTCCGTTGTTGCGCCTACTCGAGCGAACGGTGCTTCAAGCTGGCGGTGCGATTCAAAGGGGGGGTGCCAGGACCGTGTGGCAGAGGAACTCTCCCGCATTCGGCGCGGCCTCCATCCTCACTACAGTTCAGGGGAGACGGTGGCCGTGCCCCCCCCGCCCGCGCACAGGGGAGCCGTCGCCTCCCGGCGCACGCCTTCGTGCTCGCCTCCGCCTCGCCGGTCTTCCAGAGGCACCTGCGCCAGGAGGAGCAGGAGCCTCCTCGCGCGGCGGCCCCTGAGACCGGCACCTGCGCAGGGTTCATTTCGATGCCTCCGCTTCGGTTCGATTCGATCTCGATGGCCCCCGATTCCGGTTCGATCCGACTTGGGCTTCCGATTTGGTTTCCGATTTCTTACTTGGAGGCTTGCTAGTCTGCGGGTTTCCGCCGATTCGGCTTTTCCTCACTCTGCGGTCGATTTCCGTTGATCCGATTCATTTCGATCGCCGAACTGACTTATCGTTCCGATGCTGGGTTCTCCTGCCCGTGAGACTGGCACGTACAGTAAGTGAATGTGTGGTGGGAGCTCTCTGTAACGTGCACAGTACATTTCCTTCATGCACGCGCAGGCTACTCCAGGCCATTCAGGGCCACCACTGGCGGCTAAAGCTTGCTCCAGGCCGCTAAAGGCAACCGCAGGCCACTGAAGGCTGCTAGTAGTACACTACAGTCCGCCAAAGGCCACTAGAGACTACTCAACCGAGGCGGTGTATGTCAGAATGGGTGACCAAAAAGACTCGCCTACGTAACCTGCACTGCATCTTCGGGAGACCTACACTGTTCAACAGGGTCTGGCCTTCTTCTGTATCCGCCGCAGGCTCGACGTGGATCCCACGCAGATCCAACGCGGATTCGACGCGGATTCGACGTGGATTTTCGGATTCGACGAGGATTCGGCGCGGATCCGGCGCGGAGTCGATTCGAATAGCGACGCAATGGGACAGACAGGGTCCCCGGGTCCTCCAGAACTTTGCGGGCCCCGGAAACGGCAGGGCCGGTTTTTCACCGTTTCCACAAAAATGTCCCTTGAAAATGGAAACGGCCAAAAAACGGCGACCGGAAACGGCAACAAAAACGGCTCCAGGATTGGAGCCGGAGCGGGAACCCGTAAAAGAACGGCGACGGAACCGGTAAAAAAAATCGGCGTCGGAACCGGCAACAAAAACTACAAAACGGAACCGGTATTAAAAACGGCCCTGCCGTCTCCAGGGCCCACTGAGCTCCAGAGGCACCTGCGCCAGCAGGAGGACCCTTCCTTCGAGGAGCAGAGGGCTGCATCAGCATGGTTTCTCGGAGCTCCGCGCGGACCCCTCGACTCGGCGCTGGCCCCTGATTGCGGCGCCTGTGGCGCCGCCCCTGACGCGCTTCGCGAGCCGATCCAAGCAATCCGCGCAGACCCCCGACAGTTTGTTGTTCTATCCCCGCGCCGCACTCGTCCTACCTCCACCTGAGAACACAGGTGCAAGCAACAGAGCGTACAAGTTCATGTCACACCACATGCGCGAAATCCCGAGTCCTAACAGATCATAATCTCCCCCATGGTATGCCACCTGTTGTGCGTCTCTCTTCCTGCATCTGCACATACGTCTGTATATGCACATACATGCATATATACATACGTGCGTACAAACATGCATGCATGCATAGCTACACGCATATATATATACATACGTATGTATACATGTTCACGCATCCATACACAGATACATGCACACATGCAGGCATCCATACATACATGCACGTTCACCGATACATATATGTATATATATATACATATATATATATATATACACCTGCATACACGCAGATATGATTACATCGATTTTTACCTACCTACATACATACATGTCTACATGTATACATTCGCACAGACATGGATACATACATGCATGCATGCATACATACGCACATGCACAAATGCATACACACATGCATCCATACATACATACACACATACATACATACATACATACATACATACATACATACATATATATATATATATACATGCATGCATGCATGCATACATACACACATACTTACATACATACGCACATACGTTCACACACATATACATACATGCGTACAGTCATGCATGCATGTATTGCGCATATATGTTTATATATACGCACATACATACGTACATACATACGTACATGTGCACACACGCACACCGATGTACATACATCAATATATATATATAGACGTATGTCCATACATGCAAACATTCATACACACATCCATGTATGTATGTGTATGTGTATGTATAGGTATCTCTATTGCGCTTTCTTTCTCTCTCACACTGTCTCCCTTTGTTGTCTCTCTCTCTCTCTCGCTCTGTCTCTCTCTCCCTCCCACTCTGTTCCATGGAAGACATGGTATAACGCGACAGGAATGATGTCGAGGAAGATGCTAACCCATGTTTCTGGAGCAGCTCTTTCAGGTGCTTGGGGCATGTCCGTTAGTTGGCAAAGCTTTGAGCACCTGTTGCTTCAAGGAGCTCTGATGGAGATCATTTGGGCAGTTTTGAGGCTGTCTAGGGCTCAAGTGTGGCAATGTTGGGGCTCCCTGGGGGCCCTCTTGGGCTGTCTCTTGGGCCGTCTGGGGCCACCTTATCCATCCCCAAGATCACTTGCGGCCGTCTTGGGCCGTTGAGGAGCACTCTGAGGCCGTCTTGGGTCCCACGGAGGCCCGTTTGAGCCAGATTGCAGCTCTTTGGGAGCCGTCCTGGGCTGTCGATGGGGGTCTGTTGGGCTGTCTTGAGGCGCCGTGGAAGATCATTGTGGAGGATCATTTGGCCATGTTTGGGTTTTTATTGGTTGTACAAGGGCCGTCTTGAAGGCCTCGAGGGCCGTCTGGAGGTGCATGGAGTCCGAAAAGGCAAGGACGGCCCAATCTTGGAACCCAGGCCACAGGAAAATAACTGATTTTTGGGCCTCTTCGGGCCTTCCTGGGATTCTTCTTGTGGCCCACTGTCCTCTTGGGTGCCTCTTTGGCCGTCTTTTGGCTATATTGGGCAGCCTCGGGGCCAACTCCGGCCATTTGCAGGCACATCGGATCATCTCGGCCATCTTTGGTGGCCTGCCTCGGTCATCTTGGACGCTCGGGGACTTGTAAGGGATCGTGGCCTCGCGAGGGTGCATCGATGGGCCTTTTACAAGACATCGCGGTCTTGGTGGGGGCGCCGATCAAACCAACACTCTGCTACTGGAGAGAGGGGGGGCTTTTGAATACTCCATGAGACTTGCCAGACAGCACTTGACAGTCTACCACGCCTCAACGTGCCAGGAGGCACTGTGGCGAATAGACTGACACACACACACATATATTCTGCACCGTACACATATTGCACCACGAAGATTGCACATTCATCATGCAAGAACCCATTGGTTGAGGTCCATGCTGGCAAACATTCGTACTGTCTGGGCCTCGAGGATGCTTCTTGCGGCGTCGACTGAGTACGCTTTGCAATTCTGGTCAACACGCACTCCCGAAGATGTCTAGGGCCACCGTATCAGAAATCATCGCGCCAAGCGACCCTAGACAACGTTTGCCATGAGTTGTGGCACAGGTTGCGCCAGGGACCCCGCAGTCTACAAAGTCGTCTGTTCGCTCAGCGGGTGTGGCTCTGAGGAATCTCGAAAGGACTCTTGCAACATTCGCTGGTTAGATAACAGAGCGGGGAGGAGGGGGAAGGAGGTTCGAGGCTAGAGGTTCGAGGCCTCTTTTCTTCGGCTCCGTACTTCTTTCAGGCCTCCTGCGGCGTCCTCGTTGCCACGGCTGGATCCCCTTTCGGCATCATCATGGAGACGCGTTCCAGAGGAGCTCGGGGCCTGGTTTCTGAGGGTAGATGAGGCGTGGGAGAAGGGGAAGGGCTGGGAGGAGGGAGGAGGAAGGCGGTGGGAGTTGGCGATGGGGGCGACATCGAGGAGGAGGTGGAGGGCGAGGAGGGGAAGAAGGGAGAATGACAAGAGCAGACCCAGGATGCATCAGCGGCGTGGCCGCACACCTTGCCGCCCCGAGTTCCTCCACTCCCTGCGCTCCCTGCAGGAAGCGCCCCATGGCGTTTACGCCGGAGCTTGTTTTGAGAAAGGAACGCCCTCCATCCATGCAGCTGCTCTGGGGACGCGCATCAAGAAACCGTCTGCTGTTCGTCAGGGCACCCTGGGTTTCTTCGCTCCTCGCGCCTTCCCGCGGCCGTCAGAGAAGCTGCTCCGTTCAGGATGCTCCAGGATTTTCCTCAGGTGCACCTCGCGCGCGGGTTTTCCGGACCGGGTTACTTGCGAAGGGTTTCTTGCGGCCGCGCCTGTATTGCACTGAAGATATCAAGATGTGCCAGCGGCGTAACGTTCAATTGTGTGTCAAGTGAGAGCCCACATTTGAGAAGGAGCCACCCTCCATCTGTTTGGAGCTGGATATGTGTCAGTTGTTGGTGGTCCATCCAGGACAGATGTCATGCTACACGCATTCCCCATGCAGTGTTACGTTTCGAGACTTTTGTCGGTAGATCCCGGGCTCTGACACGTGCTTCCAGAGGCCCCAATTGTTGCACACCCCGCCTAGCGCTGTGATTGTGTCGCGGTTTGCGCCAGCAGGTTCCAGCCTGTCCCCGCCTGCAGGCCAGAGCACCTCGCCGTGGACGGCGGAGGCAAGAGGGTTCGGCGAGCGGGTGGGCGGAGGCCTGGACTCCTTCCCCCGTGTCGCGGTCACGGCGCGTGCCAGCTCGAGCCAGCATGTCCGAGGAGGAGGAGGAGGAGCGAGGAACTAGGAGCGAGGAGCGAGGAGCGAAGAGCGAGGAGCGAAGAGGAGGAGCGAGGGAGATCCCCAGAGGAAAGGATTGGCTCTCGGGCCGACGCCCCGTCGGCCCGCCACGGCAAGAAGGCGTGTGCTCAGCGGTGGTCTGTCCAGTGGACGGTCTCTCCAGGTTGGGCCCATGGCCTATGGCCTGCTGCTTACTCGCTGAGTGCCTCCTCCCCCTCCTCTAGTCATCTCGGCTCCGCCAGCCCAAGGTGGTGCGCTATGCTCCTGCACTTGCCACGGCAGCGCGGGTGAGCTCATGAATTCTGCCAGCACCACAGACCCCCGACGTTCAGTCGATTCGTTGTTTGAAGCCGTCGGCCCCCGAAGTTGCCGGCAGTTTCGGAGCAAGTTCCTTACCTGGGCTGGTTTTGACGGTCCCGCGGCCCGTAAACAGCTCCCAGAAGCCGGTCACAGCGAAATTGAATAGCTTCTCAATGTATTACGATGGATGACCTGCGTTCGTGTCCATATACGTCAGCGTCAGGCACAAGTTCGAGGTGGATGCAGCCGTGGCCATGAGAGGCCTCCTGGAGGCCCAAGGATGGCAGCAGGCATACATAAAATCACGAAGCACCCCGTCAGTATTGCGGACAAGAGTGAGGGGGCGGGCGCAGGATGGGTCGCGGTTGGGTCGCGGGGGGTTCGCGGGGGGTGGCGGGGGGGGGTCGCGGGGAAGACCACAACAACAACCATACTTTAGATATTGTTATCTCTTGTCTGCTCGCGTGTTAGTAACATGTAGATGCCACACCCTCGATACCCGTCCTCTTCGTCTTTGATGTTGCACCCCTTGGAGGAAGATTCCCCTTACCTGCAACGTGTAATTGGCACAGCCCAAAAACCAGGGGGGAGGGAGGAAGGGACAAGGAAAAGGAGAAGGATGGAGCACTAGAAAGCTTAACTGGGGGGTAGGAAGAGAACAAAACGACGCACACCCAGACGGGACGAGCAGCCAGGCAGACCCGAGCGGGCGGGTCGCTGACGCGTCAGCCGTGCGTGAATCGCGATGAGGTCTCGAGCGGTAGCGCGAATCATCGTGAGGAAGTCCAGAGTGGGACCGTGATTCCAGAGTGCTGGGGGCGTGGCTTTTCAATTCATCGCGAGAAGGTGCCACGTGAGAGCGCGACTCCTGCATAAATTGAGGAATGATTCCGCGAGAGCGCGATCCGGAATACATTGCAAGGAAGTATAAGGCGGGAGCAGTTGAATTCTCAGTTTTATCCGTACGATACCAATTGAGGAGCCATTCTTGGGGCTCGTATTTTTAACCAGAGAATGTCTTCAGCCTCGAATTTGGTGTTGGCCCCCGGTTTGCAACAACGGCGGCTCCCGCCTGGCATTTCCTTAGAATTGATAATCAATCGCACTCTCGCGCTGGACCTCCTGGCGAATCATCCAGGAATCGCGCTCTCGCGTGATATGTCCTCGCAGTGTATTGAAGCGCCGCGCTCCCATCGCTCAGGAATCGCGCTCTCGCTTTGGACGTCCTCACCATTTATTTGAGCATCGCACTATCGCTCGAGACCTCCTCGCGGGTCATGCGCGGCTGACGCTTCAGCGGCCCGCCCGCTCGACCAGGCCGTCTAGGCCCGCTAGGCCGACCCACCCGTTAGGGCTTGTCCGGCTGATCCGCCCACCTGGATATGCCGTTTGTTATCGGGGGCGGAAAAGAGGGGGGTGATGACTAGGGGGGGTTGGATATCATGGCGTGGGCCATGATATTTCCCCAGATTTCATGGCGCCTCTTCTTGTTTCATTGCGTCCCTGGCCCCCCCGCTGGGCCGCGCACATGCCGCTGGTCATGATTTGCACCCCCCCCCTCTTGGACACCCCCTTCTTGGCCGCTCCCGATGTGATCCTGATCATAACAGGCCCCTGGGAATGTCTCTCCTGTTCAATCCTTCTCCCTCTCCTTGCTCCTTCCCTCGTCCCTCTCTCCCCTGTTTGATGTGGCAGGTCAGGAAGACAGGCCCAAGGGTAGTACGATCGAAGACGAAGGCGGCGTACCGAAGGTATGGGACAGACATGCGGATTGACAAGCGAGCAGATAAGAACGAACAGTATTATAATGATTGTTGTTGTTGCTGTTGCTGTTGCTGTTGCTGTTGCTGTTGTGATTGTTGCAGGTGTTGTTGCAGGTGTTGTTGCTGTTGTTGTAAGATGGGGGCCACTAACACAATCTGAGCCCCCCTCCCGAGTAAAGACACAACGTGCGAGCCCCGTGAGGGGCACTTCAATTTTTTGAATGACACGCGAGTTGATGAGAACGAGCAGTCTTAGAATTGTTGTTGTTGTTGTTGCAAGCCAGGGGCCAAAGACAAAATCTGAGCCTCAAGACTTTCTGTCTTGAACAACAAGGTTCAAGCCCCGGGAGGGGCACTTCAATTGTACAAATCACAATGGGCATTTGAACGGGGGGATAACAAACATTAATTTAGCTGGAGTTGGGAATCTAACAGACATCAAATAACAATCAAGCAGAAGCTGGGCCACGGAATCCCACTTCACCTTCGCACCCAGGGACTGTGCACGACCGTTCGGCCCCCTCACCCTTCTGTCCTCGGTTCGCCTCCTCCAGGTCGCCCGAGGTCTAGGAACCTCATGCTGGCCGCGCGGGCGGTCTTCAGAGTGCGCGCGCCGCAGGCAGGCCGCCGCGCTAAGGTTCCGGAGCGTCTCGTGCGCTGGCCGGCGCCCGCGGGGCGCCGGTTCTGCGCGGCCGGGGCTGGCGCCAGAGCCCGTAGGAGCTGAGGACAGCACAGCCCACCCGCACCCCGCCCCAGTGATCCAGGGAGTCCTGGCTCGGGGTAGGGGTGCTTTTTGTTGGGGCTCTCAGGGGCGAAAAAACAGCTCCCCCCCCGCCCGCGAGGACCTCGTGGGCCACCAGGTCGGGAGTGAGTTGGGGTCCTTGCTGGGGGTAGTGGTGGGTTAGTTGTGCTGTCCTCAGGAACGACTATGAGCTCTACCTTGTCACCGACGATACATACTTGGACGGTCTCTTCTATGAGAAGATCGCCGCCGCCGTGGAGGGCGGCGTGACCTGCGTGCAGCTGCGGTTGAAGCACGCCTCGACGGCTACGCTCGTGGAGTGGGGCCACAGAGTTCGGGAGTTGACGCGCCAGGCCGGGGTGCCGCTTATCATCGACGACCGTCTCGACGTGGCCCTGGCCTGCGACGCCGATGGCTTGCACGTGGGTGGCGAGGACCTCCCGTGGCGCACGGCCAGGCGCCTGCTCGGCCCCAGCAGGATCCTGGGATGCTCGACGTACGGGCGGCCAGACCTGGTGCTCAGTACCGTTCAACCGATCCCCGTCCTCACCGGGCCACGGCGTCTCGGCCCTGCCGCGCCACCACCCCAGTTGGGGACAGGCCGCTCGAAAACCTCAGCGACGCCTATATCCCCATTGCAGGGGGCAAATCGGCCAGCGGGGCCCAGGCCACGCCAGTGGGGATAGCTAGGGTTCGGTTAAGCGATGCTCAGGTGCGCGAGGCCCTGCACCCGGAGGTGCGCGCGGATTACCTCGGCAGCGGCGCCATCTTCGCCACGAGCACCAAGCACAGCAGCGTGCCGAAGGGCATCGAGCACCTGCCAGGCCTGAGGCGGCTCGTCGCCGAGGAGGCCGCTGGCCGCACGGTGCCCATCGTGGCCATCGGCGGAGTCGGGCTCGCCGCCTCCGGCGAGTGCGTGGCGGCGGGCGCCGACGGCGTGGCGGCCGTGTCGGCCTTGCTGGGCCATGCGAGCGCCGAGGGCACCCGGCAGGCCGCGGCGGCGATGCTGGCGGCCGTGCGTGGCGCCGTGCGGCCAGTCGCCTGACCGCTGGTCAGAGGAGCAAGAAGCTCATCGGGCTCCTGCTCCAAGAATCTTGCGGTTTGTCCACATCCGAGCGATGGCAGGATGATGCGTTCCAAGACGACCCAGGTTCCAGGAATTCACATGTGCCCCAACGTGAAGCAGTGGCGAAGCGTCCTGGCTCGCCTAGAGGCCCACCAAGGAATGTTCTAAGAACCTTTGGTGGTCTGCACGACATGTTCTTTAGAGCCTGTCTGGCTGAGATTGCTTCAATTTAGCTCATCGGGCTCCAGCTCCCAGAACATTGATGTGTGTCAACGCCCGAGCGATGGCAAGATGATGCGTTCCAGGACTAGCCAGGTTCCTGGAATCCCCATGTGCCCCAAAGCTCCATATTCGGGGGTGGACAGAACCCCCACCCTGACACATCGATGAGTGAATTGTCCGTTTTCGGTTCTCGAGAGGGCGCCGCGGCCGTCATTTTCCAGGCTTGCGCCTTCGGGCCCGAGGTCGTAGTCACCAAACCACGTTTTGCTAAATGGGGTGAGGTGGGGGGCTCCAGATACGCCCTGGACATCCTGGAACACATCCAAGGCCAACCTTCTCATACTTTCAAGCTCGTGTTAAGTCGGGCCTGCCCCTCTACATGAGGGAAACCCACAACTGGCACAACAATAGTGTGGGAACACTGCTCCTCTATTTGTTTCACCATGTTTGGGTATTCTTAGGCGAGGTTCTTTCGTTCAAAATCCGCCTGTAGGAGGACATGACATGCCCGACCCAATTCTAGCTCGGTCGGGCATGCCCTCCAACAGGCGGATTTTGGAAGAAGGATAAAACAATTGCCATCAAATGTCAAGGCATGGCCAAGCACAATCAATAGATCGTCCCCAGACTACTTTCTAACTTTCTCGAATACGCCTCCTGTAGAGGGACGTGCCCAACTTACCCAGACATGCGACGTCCTGATTTGTTCAGGACGGCGTCCCCGGAAGTCCAGACCCTTTCCCCGGGGCCGGTTTTTAATCCTGAGCCGTTCTTTGACAGCCCCGAGGCCCGGTAGGGGTCCCCAGGGGCCGAACATAGCGAATCAGGGGCAACGACAGGGGGGGGATAGGTATAGATAGGGGGGGGTGCATCGACCCCCAATCGCCCATTGATCGCCGATAGGGGCCCGATAGCCCCGCCCCGCCCAGGAAGGTGCGGACTCACGATCGGGGGCCTTTCGCCGATCTATCGGCGATGTATCGCCGAGTCCAGGTCGATACATCCCCCCCTATGCCAATCCCCCCCTATCGTTGCCCCTCAGCGAAACACCTGCCGTCCTGATTTGTTTACGGCGCGATCGTGCCTGGGTAGTGCTCGCTGGGCGGCGTCGGCGGGCGCCGCGGTGCGCGCCCGCGCGCGCGCGTGCCGCCAGCTCTCTCGGGCCCCGCGCGGCGCTCCCGCGGGTCGGGCGCCCCCGCGCCACCCCCGAGCGAAGGGCAGGCCTGAGCCGGGACTCTGCTCCGGCGCGGCCGTCGGGGCTCGAGAGGCCCAGACATGACCGCGCCGTGGAAGAAAAATCAGTTCCGCAGGTTTTTCGCTATTTTCGGCCCCTCTGGGGGCCCTTACCGGGCCTCGGGGCCGTGAAAAAATGATTGAGGGTGTGAAACCGGCCCCGGGGAAAGGGTCTGGACTTCGGGGACGCCGTCCTGAAAAGACCAGGACGTCGCATGTCTGGGGACGGGGGTCAATGCAAACGGGGGTCAGCCAAAGCGCCGGATCTTGCAGGATCTTGCAGTGCCATGGTCGGATTGCCCGGGCTTGGGCGCAGGATCCTGCAGGATTTTGCCGGATCTTGCAAGGCCCGACTGACCCGAGTCTGCATCGACCCGGGTCAGCCGATTCCAGGGGCCGTCGCGGCGAGCACGGTCGTGCGCCACGGACGCGCGTGGAACTCGTGCTCAGAGTCTAGGGGGACGACCATTAATGATATTAATATTGAACAACTCGGAGATCCGCACGGACTTCTCGGATCGGCGCTGGAGCACCCTTGGCGGCGCCTCCGGCGCCGCCCCCTGGCGCGCTCCGCGCGCCAGGGAGGGGGGTTCAGTACCGATCCGAGAGATCCGCGCGGACCTCCGAGTTTTTCTGTTTATGTCATTGCTCGTTCCCCTAAGCACGGTCGTGCGCCACGCACGCGCGCGGAAGCGGTTGTCGCATCGCGCGCGCGCATGTCTGCCTTCCTGCCACTGGGCAGCGGGGCCCCTGGATGCTTCGGAAGGCAGCTGCACCCCACCACCGTCCATTCTGGGCCGTGGAGTGGGGGTATAGACCCTCCAGGTCGATGCAAGGAGTTTACACATGCACACCACGCAAGGGCCCTGGACAGTTCTGGGCAGGGACTGGTGGTGGTGTAAAGTTGCCGCTCCCGAAGTGGTACGGTGCCTACCTGAAGTCTTCGAACCTCTCCAAAAATCCGACCCTAGTTCGAAGCCTCTGGTCCCTTCTGGATGCATTGAATCCAGCGCGGCAACACATCGGCCCCCCTTCTCTTCCGAAGCAACTCATAGCAGTTCTCGGCCATGCAATGCAAAGCATGGCTTGGCGCTGCGTTGCATTGCTTGCGTGGCGTGACAGTGGACGGAGGGCGAGGAGCATTACCGGAGAACCGACGAAGGCAGAGGGCCGCCGCACGAATCGACCTAGCGAACACCAATCCTTCTCAAAACACATGCCGGGAGTGAGCAAGTAGACACAGACACGCATACAGGTAGATGTCCATGAAAGACGTGTAGCATGTAGGAGAGTGGCCGGGCTGGCGAAAACCCGCCATCTATGGAAACAGCTGGGGGATCTTCGAACGTGTGTTTATTTATGTGTGTGTGTGTGCGTGTCTCCTTGGGCCCCTGCACAATGAGAGCGCCGGGACAAAGCCTAGTTTGGGACACATCCTCTTGCAGGGCCGCGCCACCCGCGCGGCCCCCGCCTGCGCGGCGCCACGGTCGAGATTTGGGAGGCCCTCCAAGTGAATATCACGGTATCGGGTGTCTGGGTTCAGTCAAGATGTTGCTGAGATGCAGACGGACCGATGTACACATTCGAGGTCGGTTGGGGGAGGGTGCCCTCGAGTTCTTCGTGTGTGTTGGTTGCTCTTGTGCATCCTGGCGAGGGTACCCTCGGATGTTCTGTTTGGTTTCGGCCGGCGGAGGGTCCCATGTTCGATGACGATGTCGTCATCGTCATCGTCATCGTTACCATCACCATCATCGAGGGATGTTCTCCTGCCCCAGGTCCGACTGTGAGGCCCATCTTGGGCACAGGAGGGGCTCCTGGTCTTCGGTCCGCTCATTCGATGCAGGCCGGGGGCAGCTTGCTCGTGGTCGAGGCTTGAGGGGCCTGGGAAGCCCCTCCTCCAGCACCTCCTCCTCCTCCTCCTCCTCCTCCTCCTCCTCCTCCTCCTCCTCCTCCCTCCTCTCCTCCTCCTCCCCCTCCTCCACTTTCTCCTCCTCTCCTCGTCCTCCTCCTCCTCCTCGTCCTCCTCCTCCTCCTCCTCCTCCTACTCCTACTCGTCTGACTCAGCATTTCTTATGGTAGCACGATTGCTGCAGATGGCGTCGGGTTGCACGATGCCCTCAGTCACGAAGCTGTTTGCCTCGCTTGTTCCTTGTTCGTCCTTTTGCCCAAGTGTTGAACACTTGAGAACTATCGGAAACCATCAGGTTGAGGTATCTAGTGGGTTGCCCTCCACCACGCGACCGCACCTGGCTCGTGGACCAGCAACCGCCTGAGGCCTCTTGTGTGTGGGGGGCACCTTGTTGGGGGGCATCTTTGGGGGCATCTCGGTGCAATACTCAATACTGAAAGCTCTAAGGGGCCCGAGAACGCTCCACTCAGTGCCTCGCGTCACCCTGATGCAGGGTTCGTTTCGATTCCTCCGATTCGATTCGTTTCGACTTCGATGGTTTCCGATTCCGATTCGATTCGACTTCGGATTCCCATTTGCGCTCCGATTTCTCAACGGTGGCCTGCCGATTTCTGCCGATTCGATTGGGGGGAGTGTGGACAAACGGAGGAATGCATTTTTTGGCCAGCGGCCGCGGGAACATCGCGCGGCGGTCGGGCGTCTGCTGGAGCATCGGCGCGAGCGCGATTTGAGCGCAAGTGGCGAAGCGGAGAAGAACCCCGAGATCCGACGTAGCGAACAAACATGCAAGGCCGTACAACATCACGACTGGAGCCCAGCTGTCTGCGTCATTCTTCGGGCTGGCTCGATCTGTGAGGGCCTTTCTGGGCCCCCCAGATGCGGTCAGAGTAGATGGGGTGGGAGCATCGCGCCCCCTTGCCAATGAATGCATCGGCGATGCGGCGAGAGGTGGAGCCCGACATTCTCCATGTCGGCGTCGCCGACGCATCGCCGATGCATCGGCGACTGGGGCACCGGCGAGGCATGCCCCGAGGCCCTGGCGGACCTGCGCCCAGTCGTGCGGCCCTGTGCCAGGAGGGAGCATCGGCACAGACAAAAACGCACGCTGATTTCCAGGACAAGAGGTTGAAACTATTGAAAACGGAGGCGAAGAGGAAAACCTTAGAAGTATGGAGAATTATTGGGAGCAACCTGTGTCGATTCACTTGTGTCTCCTGGTTTCCCCTGTTGGTAGGGCGGGCGCGGAGTGGCAGAGCACGGGGCCCGTTTGGGATCCCGGGCAGGGAGAGGGAGAGGTGCACGCAGGGAGAGTTGCGGCGGCGCCCTTCCAGAGAGTATCGCTCAACCGATCCCCATGCCCATCCCACCCCCCGAGTCGCGGGCGGGCCCCTCGAACCCCAAAGGAGGTCAGCTCACATCCTCATCTTAGGGGAACAGATCGGCCGGTGGGGCCCAGGCCGTGCCACTGTGAAGTCGGGCATGTCCATGTACAGGAGGAACACTCAAGCATAGTAAGAAAATATAGTCGGAGGCTGATTCTGTGATTCTTTCGGACAGTGTTTAAATGTTTGTTGTTCGTCCGAAAACCCCTTTGTAGGAGGACGTGCCCGACCTAATCTTAGGGGAGTTAATCGGCCAGTGGGGCCCAGGCCACGCCAGTGCCAAGGCGGACCGGTCAAACGGTGCTCCCCAGGGGCCGCGCGCCGCGCCGTGTCCCGTTTCTCGTGTGCGGCCTCGCCGTCGTCCGTCGGTCGGGTCGCCTCACCGTCCGCTCGTCTCTGCCGCTGGGTTGAAGTCGGGCACGACGTCCCTCTACAGGAGGAATTTTCAAACATAGTCAAACAAATAGTCTGGGGACGATGTTTCAAGTATTTTTTGACTACTTGGGTATTTCCTTGTCTTTTTCATTTTTCGTCCCAAATCCCCCTTTAGGAGGACATGCCCGACCTAGATCTATGTGTGCGTCGCCTCCCCCCTCCCCCCCCTGGGGCGACGTGGCCACCGAGGAATCTTATAGGGTATTCTCCGTGGCGGGCGCTCGGGCGACTATATATCACAAGATGGTTGCACTATAGTTTAGTCATCAGATGTTCGGATCGGACGCACTGTCGGCCTGCCAGATGGCGCCCGAGCAGATGGGGTCGGAGGCTCGCGCCGCATCGCCGATGCATCGCTGATGCGGCTCGATGCTGACACTGACTTTCTCCACGCCGACGACGCCGATGCATCGCCGACGTCGCCAGTGCATCGCCGATGCATTGGCATGCACCGCCGATGCATCGGCGATGCGGTGCGATCCTCCGTCCCCATCCACGAGGGTCTGTAGATTGCCCTGGCACAATAAGGGGTAACAAACTTTTTCTCTGCGACCTTCGTGAAGGACTGGGGTCCCACTGATAGCGGAAAATCAGTATTCATTCGCGGCACCCGCCGCGCAACAGCAACGACGACGACGACTACGATTACCAAAGGGGGTAGGAGGAAGGAGTAGGAGGAGGAGGAGAAGGAGGAGGAGGAGGAGGGACCAGCTTTGTATTCACCGCCGAGAGAAACCCGGGGGGGTCTCAAAACAAAAGACCCTTACGGGTTATTCCGACTCCATCTACAGTCAACCCGAATAGTAATGATGATTGATTTCTCAAGGGTACCTTTGCATCCTTGCTTCCTCGGTCATCTTCGGTTCATCCTGAGCCACTTCCGATCTCCAGCCCCGCTTGAAAGCCTTGGCATGGCCATCCAAGGCCCTTGCATCCTCACCGCGCATCCTTACTATACAGTGGAAAACCCATGCCCAAAAGCCACCCTGCTTGCCTCCAGGGGACCCTAGGTGTAATGTGTTGTCATGGTTTTGCCGAAGAAAGCGTTACGACCCCACATTACAACTCCATGGACGTCCTGGGGTCTCAGGGTCAGGTTTCCTGTGGAGGGTTTCTTGTGGTCGAGATCTAACCGTAGTTTGTCCCTCCCCACACTCGTCCCTCTCGTCCCTCGTCCGTCCGCTTTCCTCCTTTTCCCCCTCGGATCTCCGCCTCTTGCGTCCTCGTTTCCGTCCCCCGAACTCTCCCTCCACCTGCTCCTGCTCCTGCTCCTTCTCCTCCTCCTCCTCCTCCTCCTCCTCCTCCTCCTCCTCCTCCGGCTCCCTCCCTCTCCTCCTCCTCCTCCTCCTCCTCCTCCTCCTCCTCCTCCTCCTCCTCCTCCTCCTCCTCCTCCTCCTCCTCCTCCTCCTCCTCCTGCTCCCCCTCCTCCTGCAGGAGACCTCTGCGCACGCCCCCCCGAGGCGGGCCTCCGGCCCTCGATCAATCCGCGCCTCCTTCGCCCCCGCGCCCCCCCGTCCCCACCCGCGAGCCTCGGGCGGCCGGGCGGGGCGCCCTGGCGCAGGACGCGGGGGCTCCGCCCTGGGCGCTCGGGGCCGCGGGCTCCCTCGAAGGCGGCCCCCCGCCCCGCTCGCCCCGGGGGAGGCCCGAGCCGCCCCCCGCCTGGCCTGGGGAGGGGGTCGGCGGTCGAGGATCGAGGCGATGGGGGACGGTCGCCAGCTCTTGGCGGAGAGGGAGCAGGCGGAGGAGGAGGAGGGGGAGGGGGGGGGTGGCGGAGGAGGAGGAGGAGGGAGGGAGGAAGGGAGGAAGGGAGGAAGAGAAGAAGGGAGGAAGGGAGGAAGGGAGGAAGGGAGGAAGGGAGGAAGGGAGGAAGGGAGGAAGGGAGGAAGGGAGGAAGGGAGGTAGGGAGGAGGAGGAGAGGGAAGAGGAGGAGGAGAGGGAAGGGAGGAGGAGGAGGAGAGGGAAGGGAGGAGGAGAAGGATCAATCGAGGAGAGGAAAAGGAGAGGAGGAGGAGGAGGAGGAGGAGGAGGAGGTCCAAGCACGTCGCACGCAACGTCTCAAGCGTACCGGAACCATATGAGGTCCAAGCATGGCGCACTCAACCACATGCGGCTGTTCGCACGTGCCAGCGCGACGTGCCTTTCACGTCAAACGACATGTTCTACAAGTCTGCGGTTGATCGCACACTTGTCGATAGCCAGCGAAGGACTGACCCGGTGCAGGGACCGGTGTCTTGCCAGTTGCCCCCCCCATGACGCAGGAAGAAATTGACGCGTTGGATGCAGTGGATGTTTGAGAAAAGTTGCTCGCGCAAAAGTCCAGGCTGAAACATCCAAGAAGCGAAGCACCAGCCGTCAGACTTGATGGCCGGAGATTGGGACGGGTGCGCTTGTGCTGGATTTTGCTCGCTTGATTAGCGTTCCTTCCAGTATACCGCCAGCAATAAAAAGGAGGAGAGACGAGAAGAGGGTCCTGGGGGAGACAGGCCTGAGGTTTTTCGTCGTCTGTTGCGTCCCTGGGCCCTCCACGGGACTGCCAGAGAAATACACAGGACGAAGAGCTGGTCCTGGGGGATGCCCCGGGCTCCAAGACCCGTCTCCTTGAGGAAACGTTCCCCTCAGGCTAGGAGGAGGACCGATCAGGAGGAGGAGGAGGAGGACGAAGAGAAGGAGGAGGAAGAGGAGGAGGAGAAGGAGGAGGAGCAGGTGGAGGACCGCGAAGGAAGATGGAGGAGGAGCATCGAGGGCCGATGAGGACCCGGGACGGGGGTCGGGCGTCGAGGAGGTGTACCAGGACCGAGGTTTTTGGATGCTTCTGGGTGGAGGATCCAGGACAGCTGTACGAGGCCAACCTTCAATGAAGGGGGGGCCTAGAAATCTTGCGTCACAACAGAATCAAGACGGCCAGTATCTCTTCAACTTAGGCTCGTAAAAAAGTCCCGATTTCGAGCCCAGCGACGTCAAACGAATTACTCCTGGTGAAGTGGTCCAGAGCTCCGAAGGCACAGATCACGACAAAAACATGGTGGCGGAGGTTCGGGGACGACAAGAAGAGGGTTCAGTCTCAGTTTTGTGTCCTCTCCTGGCCTCCTACTGGGCCCTCGTCACGGATCTGCCTCGCGGAGCCGTGGTCGGAGCAACTCCAGGACAGGTTTTTGGGCGTGTTTGACGATGACGCGTTGTAGGCCCAAATGCATGAGAAAGAGTAGGATGAGGATGAGGAGGAGGAGGAGGAAGAGCAGGAGCAGGAGGAGGAGGCGGAGCAGGAGTTAAAACCTTGATCTGGGGGCCGCTGTGGTTTCAAAAGGAGGTCAGAGGTCCTTCCTGGTTAGGCTGTCCAGGCTCGTTGGATGAGGGCGCGGCTGGGGCCAGAATGGAGTCTCGCTCTTCGCGCAGATGGGAAAGGATCGACGACCGACGCAGAGGTCGACGACGTCGTCCCTGACGTCGAACGAACCTACGGCCGCAGGCGACGTGGACGCTGACGGTGTCGACGCCGACCGACGGGGGACGACTCCGAACTTTCGGGCCAAGGTTACTCCAGACTTCGTAATAAAAGGGAGGGGGTCTGGACCCTCCAAGACAAGCCGTTTCAGACCCCCCCCCCGTGGGAGGACCCTCCAAAACATCGTCCCCAGACCCCCCCAGGCCCTCCAAGATAGCCTGGAATGGACCCCCCCCGAAATGAGACCCCCCTCTCTTTTATACGAAATCTGGAGTAGGTGGAAAGGGCTCAGGGTGGACGCATCCACCCCCCAATCGCCCAGACATCGCCGACAGGGGCCCCCGGGAGCCCCTCCCCGCCCCAGGAGCGTGCGGCTTCGCTTATCGGGGCATACACCGCGCATCCGTCAGCGATGCAGGCTCGATGCTTCCCCCGCGGAATCGGTCCTCCCCTTTTCTTTTCCTTTCGTCTTTGCGCAATCGGCGCTCCCCTTCTCGTTCCCGTTCCTCTTCGTGCCACCGTGGCTCTCCAGGAACCAGGGGCCTGCGGAGAGCTCTCCGTGCGGAAGACAGCCTCTATCGTCGCCGTCATCGTCGTTGTCGTCGTCGACGTCGTCGTTGTCGCCGTCGTCACCGCGGCCTCCGCCGCCGGACTGCCACCACGACGCTGGTCGCCGTCCTCGTCGTCAGCGCCACGGCTGCCGTCGGTGCCCGCGTCGCCCCCGGGGGGGGGTACTTAGGGGGGCGCGACGCACACACAGTGCTCGCATGTTTGGGCTGCGCCGAGAGAGGGGCCCACGAGCCCCTCGATAGGGCGGCGGGATCTGTAATGGGCGGCGGGCCCGTGAGAAGTGAGAGGGCACGGACTCGACTCGCCGGGGCCGAGAGGCGAGTCCGACGAGCCCCTCGATGGGGCGACGAGATCCCTGCTGGCGGCGCGCCCAGGGGGGGAGCGAGAAGGGGCGGGCCCCAGGTTGTCCCTCGGAGCGTCGAGGAACAACACCAGCGCATAAACGTACACTGCCGGAGGCCCGCGCCGCTTTCTTGGACCGGTGCTGGAGGCCCTTCCTCCTCCTCCTCCTCCTCCTCCTCCTCCTCCTCCTCCTCCTCCTCCTCCTCCTCCTCCTCCTCCTCCTCCTCCTCCTCCTCCTCTCCTCCCTCCTCCCTCCTCCCTCCTCCCTCCTCCCTCCTCCCTCCTCCAGGAGGCGCCGCCAGGGGGGGCCCAGCGCGGCTCCGAGAAATCCGCCGCGCGGAGCTCCGACCGCGCATGCCTGCGCAGCCCCTCCTCCTCTGGAGCCGCGGCGAGCGCCCGGGCTCGGCGGCGAGCCCGCGGGGAACGCGAGAAGGGGCGGGCCTTCTCTGCGTAGTCGAAGGCCAGACTGGCAGACTGGACTGGGCCCCAAGGGGCAATCTTGCCTGGCCAAACTGGATGATTTGGGTTATTCGCCAGACTGGATTCGCGTTGGCTCCCTCGCCAGATTGCCCCCGTTTGCCAGATTGGGCCTGCCAGATTGGCGCCAGATTGGCTTCGACTACCCAGCTTCTCAGACGGCTCGGCAGTTCCTTGGCCTTCTGAGAGGTTCTCTCGGATTTCCCCGCAGACGCAGCATGTTTCTCAGAAGGTCAGGCGATCGCAAACCTGGAGCAAGGGGGCGTGGATTAGCGACGGGCCCCGCTTCCATGGGAGATCGAGTTCCGCCCCCGAACGAGGCGGCACCGGCCGCACTGTGGGGAGGGCACCTTCCCCGATCCATGGATTCGGCGGCCGCGCGCCAAATCCACGAATCGCTGAGCCATGTTTGCGCTCCCCCGAGAAGGCGCGAGGGCATCTGAGAAGTCCCGCCGCCTCCTGAGAAGGCCTTCTGCTTCCCACTCCCCCGCCACGACGACCGCCCAGGCGGAGCCTGCCTCGCGGGCGAGGGCGCCCCCGAGCGGCACCGCACGCTCGTCGTCCACGACGCGGGGGGCTCGGGCACCGAGCGCTGCCGCCGTCGGTCGTCCATCGCTCGTCGCCACGGCCGTCGCTCGTCGCCGCCGTCGCTCGCGGCCGTTGCTCTGCGCTGTGGATCCCTTCACGTTCCTCCTCTGCTACGCCCCTCATCCCTCCTCGATTCTTCGAAGAATGGAGAGCCCCCAAACATTGAAACACCCTATGAAAATAAATGGCTTCGGTCTCCTTGGGCCCTCTTGGGAAGGCTCTTGGAGGCCTCGTCGGACGTCTGGTTTTTTATTTCAGATGGGGAAACGTATGTGGGAAAAAGTGCCGAGGAGAGGAGATATCCATGGGCAGGGAAAGTGAAAGGTAGGAAAAGATAGGACCAGCATCCCGCACGGACTCAGAGTCGGAAAAAGGTACCGGCACCGCTACCCTCGCCTCGTTTTCGCTTTTTTGTGCCTCCTGGGAGGCCCTCGTCGCCACCTCCAGATTCGCCTTGAAATTCTGGCCAGAATGCACCCCAGGGTAGGTCTGGGGAGCAGCGGTACTCTTGGTTTCCCGCACACATCGAGTGGTGGTTGTCCTGAGGGAGATGGGTCCTGGGAGTTCTTTTCGCAGTTGCCTGTCCACCGCGGCCCTGCCTTGGCCCGGGGAGCGACAAGAAAGACCAGGGACGTAAAGCTGGTCTCGGGGACAGGCCCGGGCGCCAGGACCCGCGCCCATCAGGGCAGACCTGGCCTTTTCCCTTGGCATCGCTCGGACGTGTGCGTGTGTTTTCGGCAGGGACCATCGAGGAGCTGGTTGGGTGATCTTGTGGGTTAAAAAAGTACACGCACGAAGCCGACAGACTCGGTTCGCGCGGGCCATCCAGGGAGCAGCGCCCCGCATCCGCGGGGTCGCCGCCCGGGGGCTCGGCCTGCGAGGCCGTGGGTACGGACCTCTCGTTCGCCCACGATGCGCCTTCATCCCTTCTCGATGGTTCCCTTCCCCTCCGGACCGCGCCAGGAGCGCCTAAAGATCGCTCCGACTCGCTCCGTCGTCCAGCCCGAGCCCCCCCCCCCGCCCCCCCTGCAACTTGCTCTCGGTCCAAAATGAGCGCGACGAGCTCCTCCCGACTGTCAGGCGCTGACATCCGGTCCACATCGGGCTCCTGGAGGGCTCAGAGGTTCGGGCCGCCCCCTGCATCCAGGTCGGGGAGCCCATCCGTGGCCGAGGCTTCGCCGTGGTCCGACGAGCCCCCTCGTTCCGTCCTCAGCCTTCCGTAGGGCAGCACGACGGCTGTATCCCGCCCCGTCCCCCCGCCGCCTTCCTCCGAGCCATCGCGCGTGACCAGGAAGAGGTACGAGAAGGAGACAGCATCTCTTGGCCATGGGCTGCGAGGTGTCTCGTTCGGCCCTCTTCGAGTTCCTCGGGGAGCTTGTGGAGGCTTCCGAGAGTGTTCGCCCAGGCGCACGTGAAAGCATCCGAGGACACTTGAAGATCTCAAAGTCAACCGGCGGCTTCCCAGCGACTCATGAGCATCTCCGAAGACTCCCGAACAACCCAGACGAGCCAAGGACACGGTCGAAAACATCGAAGACCCTCGGATCATTTCGAATCATCCCCACATCCGTCGAAGACCTTCGAAGAACACCGAACATAGTCGAAGACTTTTGCGAATCCCCGAGGACCATCGAAGATCCCCGAACATCTCCTTAGACTTCCGAGGTCTTGTGATTCGGGCGAGTGGTAATGGGGGCGTGACCCAAATAGGTGGGAAAGAAAAGGGCCCTGAAGGTGCCCTGTAGGGCCCATTTTGGAGCCAGTTGGTACCCAAATGCGCCCTTTAGGTTTCCTTTAGGGCCTTTTTCTTCACCGCCATTCCGGGCACCCCCTGTTACAACCCGCCCGATGGTTGAGGCTCGGGGTGCCGCCGACAGCGTCCGACCACCGCCAGAAGCCGTCGACAGTCTCCGAGAGCCACCGCGAGCCTCCAAGGCGTCGCACGCGGCCTTCTTCGAGCTCCTCCGCTACATCTACACCGACAGCGCCGGCTGGCTGTGGTCGGGCGACGCCGGAAGCGGCAGAACCAGCAGTGCTCGTCGTAGTTCGGCGGCGCGCACGGGTGGGGGGAAGCGAGAGGGGGCGGGGCCCTCTCGGAAGGCTCCAGAGTCCCCCGGCCTGCCGGGAAGTTTTCCAGGCCTTCTCCGAAGACACAGGAAAACGTTCAGAAGCCGCGATGGACCTTCTGAGAGGTCCCGCCGCCTTCTGAGAAGGCTTTCTCCTTCTGCACTTCCCCCCCCTTGCTCGCCGCCAAGTAGTCGCCGTCGCTCGTCGCCCGTCGCTCGTCATCCCTGTCGCCAGTGCTCGCAGCCGTCTGCGCCTGCATCGGCTGCGCTGGCCGCGCCGTGCTCGCGTGGACTGGGTGGGGGGTCGTCGGCGCGCGAGCGAGCCCGCGGTGGAGTGACCCAGGACAGAGCCTTGCACAGGGCCCAGCGGTTCGGCGCTCCTGAGCTGCCGATCGCGTGCCTCGAAACGTGGAGATTTCGAGCCACGACGAGCGCCCAGGCGGATCCTGCCTCGCGGGCGAGGGCGCCCCCGAGCGGCACCGCACGCTCGTCGTCCACGACGCGGGGGGCTCGGGTACCCAGCGCTGCCGCCGTCGGTCGTCCATCGGTTGCCGCCACGGCCGTCGCTCGTCGCCGCCGCCGCTCGCGGCCGTTGTTCTGCGCTGTGGATCCCTTGTCGTTCCTCCTCTGCTACGCCCCTTATCCCTCCTCGATTCTTCGAAAAGTGGAGACCTCCAAATAGTGAAACATCGTATAAACAACAATGGTTTGGGCTTCCTCGGGCCCTCTTGGGAAGGCTCTTGGAGGCCTCGTTGAACGTCTGGTGTTTGTTTCAGAGGAGGGAAAGTATATAGGAAATGGTCCCGAGGAGAAGATTGCCCAAGGCAGGGGAATGAAAAGGTAGGAAAAGCACCCCGCACGGATTCGGAGTCGGACAGGGTACCGATACCGCTGCCCTCGCCTCGTTTTCCCCATTTGAGGGCCTCGTGAGAGGCCCTCGTCGCCACCGCCAGATTCGCCTCGAAAATCTGTCCGGAACGCACCCCAGGCTAAGTTTTTTGAGCAGCGGTACTTCTGGTTTCCCGCACATATCGAAGTTGAGGGTGGACTCGCCATGGAAAACAGCGTTCCTGAGGGCGACGGGTCCTGGGCGGATGCTCGTAGTCGCCTGTCGGCCGCTTGGCCCTGCCCTGACCCGGGGATCGACAGGAAAGACCCAGGATGTAAAGCTGGTCTTGGGGAAAGGCCCAGGCGCCAGGACCCGCGTGCATCAGGGCAGACCTGGCCTTTTCCCTTGGCATCGTTCGAACGTGTGCGTGTGATTTCGGCAGGGACCATCGAGGAGCTTTCCGAGTCATCTTGGGAGAAATTTGCACGCACAAAGCCGACAAATGCACGGGGAAGGGGCGTCAGAGCGATGGCGAGCTCCCTTGTGCCAACTGGACCCCGCCCCCCCAAACCCCGCGCAGCACCAAAGCCCGCACGCCTCGCCAACAGGAACGCACTCCTTGCGTTAAGTTGGGCGTGTCCCTCTACAGGGGGGATCTTCCAAAATAGTCAAACAAGAATTTGGGGACGATGTTTGGACTAATTTTGAGGAGGCTGCGGCGTCTCGCACGCCCCCGGGCCGCGCATGCCGCGGGGCGCCGTGGCCCGCAGCAGTTTGTGCGCCGTGGCCCGGCCCAGCGCGCGCCGCCGAGGCAGCGGCGCGCCGGTGCGCACCGCCCCGGCCGAGCAGACGTGCACGTCGTGGGCCGAGAGGGCTCTCGCGCGGCCCATTCCTCCCTCCTCCCACCTCCTCCCTTCTCCCTCCTCCCTCCTCCTCCCTCCTCCTTCCTCCTCCTCCCTTCTCCTCCCTCCTCCTCCCTCCTCCTCCTCCTCCTCTTCCTCCTCCTCTTCCTCCTCCTCCTCCTCCTCCTCCTCCTCCTCCTCCTCCTCCTTCCGTAGCCATTTTGGCTCAAGATGATTTTGCCTGCGGCGTCCTTCATGGATACCGCTAGGCCGCGGACAGACCCCCAGCTTTTGCCGCCACAACCACGGGCTTGCGGCTGCCCACAGCTTTTCCTGCTTCTCACACTGGCATTGCAGGCTGCCGTCCATATCTGCTCGTCCGAGCCCAGCTCCGAGCACTACATATCGCCCGTCGAGCCCAGCTCCGAGCACTACATATCCGCCGTCGAGCCCAGCTCCGTGCACTACTTATCCGCCGTCGAGCCTAGCCCCGCGCACTTCTTATCCGTCGAGAGCGTTGCCCGTGCCGAGACCAGTAAGCAGCTTCTCCGTCAACCACGTACTGGTCCCGCAGCCGCCCTGGACATTGGACAGCAGAACAGCAGCCTCTACCTGGACACGCCCAACCTGTTGCAGCCATGTCTTCAAGCAGTGAAGATAGATCTACGTCTCGCAGCGCTCCCTCTCGTAGAAGGAAAGAGCGCCGTCGCGGACGCCAAGACAAAGACCGAGATGATAAAGGTTCCCGTGCCGCCGCCGCCAGAGACACGCTCGACGCCATGGGGGAAGCAGGCTTCGGTTCGCAACCCGCACGAACTTCAGGAAGAGCATCTGCGCCGTCTTCGCGTCCTGGTCGATCGTCAGCGCGCCCGTCTGCTCCGCCAACGTTTGCGATGGATGCCGACGACCTTCCACACCACGGTGATGCTGCTCGCCACGCAGCGGCTGCCGTCGAGCAACTACGCGCTGGACAATGGGATGAACCGCCCACCCAACTGCCTGCAGCCGAGGCAGCTCCTGCAGCAGGAGGACCACCGCGTGCAGACCCACTGGCAGGAGCTTGCGACCCTTGGCGTGGACAGCACGCCGCTGGAGGAGCGCCCGCCGTCGGAGCCGCCGCCGACCATCATGGCGGAGCCATGCCAGCTGCCGCCTCCGCCGCAGGAGGAACAGCCACGCCTGGATCGTTTCCAAGCATCCCAGGTCTGGCTCCTGAAGTCGAAGCCGCTCTTCAACAAGTCATGCAGTCTCAAGTCGAACGCGCCGCATCCACCTTCCAAGCCCAGGCCAACACTCTACTTAATGAATCGCGTGAAAGCTTTCGTCAAATTCTCGCACAACAAGTCATTGCTACAGAACGCCGAGTGGACACCCTACATGATGCAGTCGCCCGCACACGCCGTGAACAAGACCGCCAAGCCGACGAACAGAAGAAGATGTGGCAGCAGATCGAGCAGACGCGCGACACGCTCGCGCTCGCAGAAGCTCAGGCGCCCATTACGGACCTCACCAAGCTCGCCGACTGGGACCGCGCCCCCGACCTGACCATCTTCTCCATTGGCTGCCAGCGCCTCATCGCGCCCGACGTGCTGCTCAACGACCTGCAGGAGTGGATCGCCTCTGCCAACGTGGACCGCAACGCCGTGGAGCTGTTGGGCGACGAGCCGTCCAGACGCTTCCTTCTACAAGTCAAAGGTGATCGTGCAGCCGCAATCCCGCGAGCTCTCGCTCTATCACGCGCCCTTCGAGATCCTGCTGGCAGGTGGAGACGATTCGAGTCCACCGACACGACAGGCGCCCGAGTGGATATCTACCTCAACCCCGACAAGTCCCCCAAGCAGATTCGCACCGAGATCCAGTGCAAGAAGCTGCTGCAACTGCTCCAGCACCGCTACCCCGACAAGTCTTGGAGGGCCATCCGCACCAAGGGCGAGATCCACTGCAGCGCCATGCCCGTTGTCCGCCTCGACGTCAAGGGCCAGGCCGACCCCGCCATCCTCGAATGGAACGAGCACGCGTTCGAAGGCCACTACTTCAACGAAGTGGATCGCGGCGGCGCCCTCGCCGCGTTCCAGGCGCTCTTCGCGGACACTGCGTCAGCCACGTGGCGGGTTTAGCCGCCCCTGGTCGCCGTGGCGACCGACCGAGGACCCCGCCCCCAGCACCTTCATCACGTGGAACGCCAGAGCCCTTATGTGCCACAAGCGCAAGCGCCGCCGCCGCAAGCAAGCTGCCTTGACCAAGTACATTCGTCGCCACTGCGTCATCCTCCTCCAGGAGGTCCACGGCTCGGAGGCCCTGCTCCGCACGTGGGTGGACGCACAGCCGTGCCCGTACAAGCTCTTCTTCTCCGAGTTCGTCGGCAGCGATCACGACGAGGCCCGCCCTGGCACTGGCGGCGTTGCTACGTTGGTGCCCTGGCTCACGCCCATGCAGCTCGAGCAGCTCGCTCCACACCAACTGCCGACCTTCGACCACGAGGAGGTCGTCAAGGGCCGCATCCTGACCGTCGCCGTCACCAATGCTGTCACGAACAACTCCATCGTCATCATGAACGTCCATAACCACGAGATCGACGCCCGTGGCCGCGACCGAGTGCAACGTGCTTGGCATCAGCATCGCACTTGGGCCGAGGCCGACGACCAGCACCGCGCCTTCATCGCCATCGGGGACTTCAATACCGCCAGCCGCCCGCCGAACAGCTTCCTGCAGCCTCAGCCTCTGCGCGCGCGCCTTGCGCTGGATAACAGCGCCCGCCAGCAGCAGCCATTCTGGAAAGCACTCTTCGAAACCATGCTCGAAATCGAATCCGACCTGCCGACCCGCTTCAACAAGTCTGACTTCGCCGCCGCAGCGATCGACAGCGTTTTCATCAGCTTGCCGCCCCATGCCATGCTCGAGCTCACTTCGCAGGTCAGCATCGTGCCCGACCCTGCCATCCTGTCCGACTCCTTCCTCAGCGACCACGTGATCATCTCCTACACCATCGGCATCAAGCCGCGCACGCCGTCGGACGACCAGGCGATCGCACCCGCGATCTTCCGCGACCCGAACCACGCCAAGTACCTGGACCAGCTGATTTCCCACACCAAGACAGAGCACGTCCCCATCCAGAACCGCTGGCGCACGCACAAGCGCCTCATGGTCGAGGCTGCGAGGCTCGTCTGCGACGACTGGGTCAGCTCCACCGGGGTCGGCAGTACATCCAACCTCGCCGACGGCCGGGTGCTCACGGCGCGCTCGATCTCA